TTAACATTCAAATGAGTAGTTCTTTCTTCTTGCTTATTATAATATAATCGTTTCTGTATCTCTCTGGTCATTATTTTTAGGTAATGCCTTACTCTACAGCATGTAGCACTCCACTGTCAAACTTTGAATCGGGACAGAATTACAAAGAGGTAGTGGATCCTGCAGGTGACTAGTTTCTTCTTAATCATGTTAAATTACCATGTTTTGTAAGTGTAGTACTTTATACTAGGAAATCTATACTTAAAGCATTAACAATAATCATGTAATTATAGTTCAAGTTTTGTGTTATTTCTTGGCTATATTTTGAGCTGACAGTATCGCAATATTTTTAAAAACATCAGATTTCACAATGCTACTTGACCTGTAATGGTTTTTCTAGTTATTGTCAGCTTTCCTCTGGATGAAAGTCCTGATGTTTCGATGATAGCGTGGACAACTACACCTTGGACACTCCCCAGTAACCTTGCCCTCTGTGTGAACCCCACCTTAGAATATGTAAAGGTCAAAGGTGAGTAGGTTTGTGTCATGATTGTTGTGTGTAAGTGTGGTATGAGTATAGTTTTATCTTCTCTCTGTAGTGGATATTTGTATGCATGGGTTTTTAACATGGTATTTGTTTTAATAATATAAGAATTGCTAGACATGGTTTTACCATTTTTTATTAAGATTTAGTTGTTAATATAGGGACTTTGATTTAACTGGCATAAGCGTAATTGAATGGTGACGTATTTACTCTCAAAGGAATGCTAGTTTATTGTAGGTTAACCACCAGCTACCCATTATACAGCTGAAATAATTGACTTAAATTTTCTTGCTGAAGGACACAAAATGTTGCCTCAAACTTACAACCTTCTAGCTATGAGTACAAAACACTAGCCACAGGACCGTGCTGCTCCCTGTATTATACTCACTGTAACTGTTGGTTGGTTCTGTTGACCTGAAAATTACTTAGGATGGTATCCTGTCTGAAGAATCACAATATATCTGTCAAATTTGTTTTGTAACCCTCTCCCCCAACACAAAACAACAGAAGAATTGTTCATTTCTGAAACCAAGTTATAAACTTTATAATAACAAATTGCTTTAAAATCTGTTACTTAGATAATTCTGTTGTTGAACGTTTTTGCAAACACTAAGTTTAGAGTAAGATGTGTGTAAAATTACTTCATTTCCCAAGACCAGTAATGTATAATAACAGTAAATATTCTTCCAGACATTACAACACAGAAAGTCTACATTATGATGGGGGCGAGACTGGATGCACTTTTCAAGAAACCAGAAGAATATACAATAATTGAAAAGTGAGTTAAATAGTAGATGTTGTCTTTAGTAGGTTTATTACCACACTTAACATTATAATATGTTGTCTTTAGTAGGTTTATTATCACACTTAACATTATAACATGTTGTCTTCAGTAGGTTTATTACCACACTTAGCATTATAACATGTTGTCTTCAGTAGGTTTATTACCACACTTAACATTATAACATGTTGTCTTCAGTAGGTTTATTACCACACTTAACATTATAACATGTTGTCTTTTCAATACTAGCAGTAGTATAAAACTTAAGTCCCCTCTAGAGCAGCAATAAGTAAATTATTTCTTTTCACTAAACTTAAATAATTTTGTTTCAGCTTGCCTTCTCGGAATACGACTTACTTCAGCAAAATAGGGAAATAAAGGTGAGTAACGTTTCCCTTTTAGTGTTTCTCCTTTAAACCTAATAAAAAGAAAAAAGTAAATACTTTGGGTCAGGGATGTTACCTTCAATTCTAATGTCAAATCATATAGTCTTATTAAAACAACAACAAAAAAAAACATAACTGTTCATAATCCTTTATCAAGAGGTGCACCAAACACACACACATACCCGCAGACTTAGCAAATAAATCAAATATGCGGCTTATCATAAACCTACTGAAGAAAACATGTTATAATGTTAAGTGTGGTAATAAACCTACTTGTATTACAATCTACCCCTTTCATAATAGTTGATCATCTGGTGTTAAG